ACAAAAGTAACTTTTGTATTCTATGTAAAGAAAATATTACGGAAGACTTTGATCATCTAACGAGCTGCTCAGCTCTGCAAGAGTCATAAGGAGAAATTGAAAAAGCAGTACTTCGGAATATTGAGAAACTAGAAGAAGAAGACCTGCACCTTCAAACAAAATTACAGAGAATTAGAGAAATCGTATTCTCTGATAATCGAGAATTTCTCTTCCAAAGAAGAAAGGAGTTGGTAATAGGGCTTGAAGAAATCTGAATGACGAAAGACCTCCTTATGATAGCAGGAGAAAAGAGCAGAGTAAGGTCTTGGATGGATAGTATACTTTTTGTTATACAAAGAAGTTTTGCAGAGATCATCTAGAACTATCGATGTGAAAAAGTAAATAAATAAGAGAAAGAAAATGGAATAACAACCAAAGAGAAAAGAAGCAAGTTTAAGAAGTTTGAGCTTGAAGTGAGAACTCGAATGATGAAAGAGAAGAAGCTATTAGTAATAGAAAGGAAAAAAGAAAGAGATAGAAGAAAAGGATGAGTAAATGGAAAAGTAGAAGATGTAATTAGGAAGGCGATAGAAAAAGGAAGTAAGGAGTGGTGGAGTTTTTTTTGATTTAGTTAGACAAAATTGTTCTAGCCCTATGGCTAATGCGACAGGTTGCATCTGAGCACTCTAGTAGCAGCTGGATGACATCAAGCTTAGGAAATTAAGTAGATTCTAGAATTATATGTAACTTAGCTATGGCCAAAAGTTAACAACTTAATAAAGTTTATGACGTGACTGTTAAAGGAAAAAAAAAAAAAATAGATTTATTATAGATAGAATATAGAATACAATCTGTACAAAATATACTTGAAAGCCTGATAGCAAATTTTCTTTTGACAGTACTCATATAGTATATATGACAATATTGAATTACTCTAAACTAAAAATAGAATGATTTATTATAATAGAGAATAGTAATTTCAGAGAATCAAATTAGCTCTTTATACTGATCAAAATAAAGTAAATTTGAGTCAGCTTATATAATGCTAGCTAGCTAGCTTACTTAATGCTAGTAGAATTAAAATCATTAAACTATTAAATAAATACTTATCTTACACAATCTAATTTTCTTTAAAATTTTTTTATTTGATATGAGTATATATTGTATATTTAAATTGCCTATCTTAATAATAAAGTAATTACAATATTTAGATATATATATATAGATACAAGAGTGTAAAGATAATTTATTATCTAATATTGAAAGTTAGAAAACTATGAATATAATATTGATTTACTATAATTTAAATACTTTAAAATCTTTTTTATTCAGTAAATAAATATAAAGATAATTTATTATCTAGTCTAATCAAAATCAATAATCATTAGTATAATATTTATTTTCATAACTTAATTTTTTTCAAATATTTTTAATTTAATATAATATTGTAAAGATAATTTATTATTAATAGAATTAAACATAGAACCAGAACAGGATAAAGAAACAAGAATTTAGAAAGAAGCCAAAAGCAAAGTTGTAAGATAGATTGAAGGAGAAACTAAGGATAGTTGGTTAAATTTCAAAAACAATTAGGCAATTTTAATACGGATGTATAGCAGCCTTCTGTAGATCTTTAGAGTAAGATCCTATTTAGATATTTTACTCTTTTGAGAGAAAAATTTGTTATTGTAGCAGATTGCATCTAAGCATTTTAAGCAGCTGAGTGAGTCTGAATTTAAGTTAAGAAGGTAGTTTTATAGCTAGTTTTATTTAGTTTATAATTTTGCTATAACATATTTTATGTTTTCTCTTAATAAATAAAAGGCAAGATCACTTAAGAAAAAAAAAAAAAAAAATAGAATTAAACTTAAAAAACTATAAATATAATATTTTAGGTCTAATGATCTTAGTATAGTAGTTAGGTTACCAGACCACTATGCAAGAAGTCTAGGGTTCAAATCCTACTGTCGATGAATTTGAATAATTATTCAGATCTATGTATTTAACTTATAGTAAACTCTGTTTGTTTCTCAGATTGTAATCCTATAAATCACATTGCACTAATATCATTCAGATATTGAAAGTATGATAAGGCATTTGGAGAGATATAATGTTATATGAATAAATCTTGATAGGATCTACTAGCAGAGAATTTGCATAGTAGAAATCCTAAGTTAGTGAAATAGTATAGCTTTTAATATTTATACTAGCTAATATTTGATTTAGAAAAAAAACTGTTATTCTGAAAATATAGATCAAGAGAGGTGCAAATAAGTCTGTTCTACAAAAAGAATTAGCAACACCAACTTGGCTTAGTAGCTAACTGAATTAGAAGGATTTATCTCATAAAACATCTGAAGAGATTAGCAAACAGAAAACTGGTAAAGAGCTATAGTAAAAACTGGAGTTATACAAATATCTACAAAGGTCTAAACTAGGTGAATCTATAAAATAGGTACAGACTGCTCTAGTAGGTATGCTTTGAGGTTAACTAGAGCTTTGCAAGCTTACAATATGTTAAGCAATATATATTCTAAGAGGACCTAAGCTGGAATCGAAAAATAGATCTGTAATGAGCTAGCTGGCTTAAGTAGTTAGATGTTATAGTAATGTTAGTTTGTAATAGTATGAGTTAGTTGAACAGAGTATATAAATAGGTAATTCACAGATGGGTTATAGGTATGGCAGTATAGTGTAGAACTAATCAGGTAGTCTATTATCTGTGTAGCAGACTACTTAAATTAGATAATAACTAAAGTTATACATATAGTTTATTGTATACTCTTCATGTAATTACAAATTGTAGAGATTACTTATGTATAATCTTATATATCAAATTAATAAAAATCGCTCAGCAATATAAGCCACTTTAAAAATAAACAAAAAAATAAATAAACATAATATTTTAACATAATATAATTTGCTAGGTAATAAAGAGTCAACATATTAAATATTAACTAAAAAAATCTTTTGAATTACTATATAGAACTGCTTTTACTTAGTAATATATGCAAAATATAAATTAGAAAAGTTTATTATCTAAAAATATATTAAGGCTATACAAAAAATTTTTTTGGATTATATAACTTAGCTAAATCAAAATTTGTAAACCTTTAAAAAAAAATTTTATATACAATATAATTTATTATAAAATCTTCAGGTTAGTTTTTTAAAAAAAATTTTAAAAAATTTCATATTTTTTATATTTTTCTCTAAAAAAAATTATATAAAATTTTTTATAATTTAAAATAAAAAGCTAGGCTATTATATTACTTTTAAAATTTTATGTTATAAAAACTAAAAAATTAATTTTATGTAGTCTAATATTAACAAGATCTTTTTTTCTATTTTAGAAATTTTAATTATTTAAGTTACAAGCTTAAATTTTTCTTTATTTTTTTTAGCAGTTTTTACATAGCATATATAGAGATTACTAAGCTACCTTAAAAATAAATAAATAAAGAAAAAAAAATATATATATATATATATAGAGATTAATTTAACTTATATTTATATAGAATTAATAAATAATATATATATATATATATTTTTTTCTTTTGATAGTTATATCATAAACTTACTAAGTGAAAATATGAGGTAGAGAAAAACAAAACAAAATAAAAGAAAAAAGAAAAAAAAACAAACAGAATTTTCATTTTTGACATAAAAAGAAAAAAAAAAAATAAAAACCTAAAGTAGTTTCACCTAAAAGCAAGCCTAAAAGTATATCTAAAGGCAAGCACTATCTGTAAAAATTATATATACTAGTTGCTACCTATGTATATATCTCTATAGTTAATAATTTCTATTATATTTATTTCATACTAATCCAACAAAACAAGGCCTCCACAAGCATTCCACAATATGTCTAGTTAACAGAAGTTAATCACAGAACATGTACTATACATATTTACAAGTTGTTGTTTAGTAGTGATTAATATGACTTTCCTAAAATAAATGTAGTACAAATGTTGATCTTTTGGTAGAGATAAGCCAAATTCCCACTTTTTGTTGTTGAGAAACAAAGGGAAACAATTCTAAGTCTAAAAGTTAAGTTGTTGTGAATAAAAGGAGCAGTTCTTCAAAAACAAAACAGAACTGAGAGAGTAATAGTATTCTTGACCTAACACAAGTATAGTTAGAGTCTTTCTTTGCTTCTTCTTTTTACTTTTGACACCTTTCTACTAAGCAAACTTAAAGTCACCCTGCCAAAGTCAGATAGCAAAAGCCCAGTATAACCTTAAAACTGACTTGTTGCAGTTCTTGTTTCTGACTTATCACAGTCTTATAGTTTATTCCTCACATAGTTAAACACTTTAAGTTGCTTTACTAGGTAGTAGTACAAGAAAAAAACTTTTTGTTGTTCTGTTAGTTTTGGTTTTGATGATCATCAGAAAGAGTTTTGCTATTAATTAATTTTTCTATATTATAAAATTATTAAATAAATAAATAAAATTAACTTTTAGAAATTAGAGTTAGATTCAAATTCATATTAGAGTTAGAGTTAGAGATTTTATATATACAAAATTACATGCTAAAAACTTTTATTTAATAATCTAAAACTGGTTTTTATAATAAAATTTTGAGATATTTACGATTTTTTAATTTTTTCTTAAAAATTTTTTTATTTTTGTTACATAAGATTCTGTGATCTGATTGGTTTTATATATAAAGAGATAAAATTACTTAGAGTAAAAATTAGCAATAATCTTATAGTTTTTATTTAAAAAAAAATTTATTTAAATATTTTAATTTTTAAAAAAAGTAAATCAAATATAAATTTATAAAATTTTAGTATTCAAATTTAGATACTAAACTGAACGGTTTAAAGGATAAGAATTTTAAACCCTTTTTCTAAAGTATTTTTTTTAAATAAACTTTTTACAAAATATATTTAAAAATTTAAAATTTATATAATCAACTTGAATAATCCAAAAATGTGATCCTAATATTGATCTTGTAAAATAATTAGTAATATCTAATTTTTCTAAATCTTCATAATCTATTTTTGTGATTTCTTGTTATGTTTTTTCTTTAAAATAATGAGTCAGATTTTGCATATGTAATTCTTTAAACCATTTTGGAAAATCTAGAAACAAAAAAAAAAAAAATATGCATATATCAGTTTGACTCTAGATACTTAATAGAGCAATAGACATATAAAATTTTTTTAAATAATTTAAGAAATAATGAAACAAATAGAATGCCAAAATGCCAACACTGATAGTATATAAATTTATTGAAATACCTTCTAATAATTCATAATTAACATGATTGTATATATTTTCTTTTAGAAATTTGAATCGATTATCAATAATTTTTTCAGCTGAAAGAGCGTTTATACGATGTTCTTTAAAATGTAGACTTTCATCGTTTTGTATATCAAATTTTTTATAAAAGATATTATCATGGCTATTCGTATTTGTAGCATTTGTTTCGAAACTTCGATTAGAATTAACTATTGCTGATTTAATGAAAATACATTTATCGCAATGAATATTTGAATTTATTATAGTTCTTAATTTGAAAACTGAGCGAATCAACGATGATGCCATTTTATAATCGTATTTCTTGAGATTTTATTTTTGGCTGTTGTTAACGTAATGATGCACAAATTTTGATTGAATAGTTAGCGTTAGCGCATAATGATAATGATAATTCAGGCCAGATAGACCAAATCCAGTTGAGTGCATCTATTAAATTTGACGTGAAATTAGAAATAGTAACATTACGTATTAAAGTTAGATAAGTGCGCCCTGATTTTTTAGCACGTGATTATTCATGATAATTCTATCATATAAAAATGTTCGAAGTCAAAGATAAAAATTTTTAACGTTTCGTTTTAATGTATAATTATGTGGTAACAGCTCATAAGCCTAGTTCTGTAGTCTCTGCGGCAAGAGGCAGTATATCATCACCCGATGAAACTAATTTGGTTCTCAAGTAAGTTGTATTTTACATGGATATCAAGTTTTATAACATTTACAAGTCTCTTATTTATTTACTTTTTCACATCGATAGTTCTAGATGATCTCTGCAAAACTTCTTTGTATAACAAAAAGTATACTATCCATCCAAGACCTTACTCTGCTCTTTTCTCCTGCTATCATAAGGAGGTCTTTCATCATTTGGATTTCTTCAAGCCCTATTAGCAAATCCTTTCTTCTTTGGAAGAGAAATTCTCGATTATCAGGGAATACGATTTCTCTAATTCTTTGTAATTTCGTTTGAAGGTGCAGGTCCCCTTCTTCTAGTTTTTCAATATTCCGAAGTACTACTTTTTCGATTTCTCTTCATGACTCTTGCAGAGCTGAGCAACTCATTAGATGATCAAAGTCTTCTATAATATTTTCTTTACATAGAATACAAAAGTTACTTTTGTATAGATCAGGTCTTCGCTTTTTCAATT